AACAGTAAATATTCTATTTAATGGTGTATGTTATATATCTTTAAATTTTACGAATTTTTATTTAAAAAATGCACACATATAATTTTTTGAATTTTAATTGAACAATTCATATTCTTGCATTATGTACTAACATTTTGTGTTTTTTTCCTTTTTTTTTTATTTTCGTTTGGACCGAGTGGACTTTTTCTTTTCAATTACAGTGATGTTCGAAGGAGATTCCCAAGGTTACTACGCCTAGTGAGTATATTGTTGCATTTTCCAAATTGTATATCTTTTATCTAACATAAATTTTTATTATGTTAACAAAAGTAATAATATAATAAATTTTATTATGCTGTTTGACAGGATGGCACAGAATTACCGCGACCAATTGTCTTCGATGTAGTCGATGAAGCTGCCAAGACTCCTCCATCGCAAAGAATGTTCGTCACTGATGCAAAAGCACAAGAAATTGCTAGTCAATTTTTACAACAATATTTCACGATATTTGATAGTGAAAATCGTCAACCTCTACTGGATGCATATAATGAACATGCATTATTTAGCATGACAATAAATACTTCTAATAATAACAAGTAAGTATTGTGCAACATTACAAAATTTCATTTTCTCTTTAATAAGAAAATTCTCTACTCTTAAAAAAGGAAAGGAGTTTCGTAATTTTTTATTTTTCAGTACAGAAGTTTTTGTGTAGCCATATCTTTTAAATTATAAATAATGAATAAAATGTAAAGCAATATGAAAAAGAAAGTAACTGTAAATAACTGTCAAAGGAAATGTTTGCAAAAGTTATCGATTAATCAAAATTTTAATTATGAGTAATACATAATCTAAATAGAATAATTTATGAACATTTTATATTCTTGTACAAAAATGATATGACGAAATTTCATATTTTTAATTTCACAATTTTTTTTTAACTTTTCATGAAGAAAATAGTTCAAATTTCTATTCTATTTTATTCGCGATTAAATTATCTAAAATCTTTCTTTTTAAAAGATTTAAGCTATTTTAAAAAATTAAGGAAATCTATATGGTGAAAAAATTCGAAAAGACATTGAAATATCTCTATATAAACATACTAATATAAACTTATTCTTAAAAAAGTTCTTTCTATATTACGAATTCTTCTTATATTACGAGAAAAGACTAGAGAATAATTTTAAGTGTTTTTATGCTCTGGATATATTCTTAATATTTTTAGTATTAACATACAAATCGAAAATGTTTAACCAAAATTATTTTTGTTACAGGTTAAATGGATACTTTTTGGAGAATCGAAACCTATTCAGAATCAATGATACGGTTAGAAGACAGAAATTTTTGAAACAGGGTAGATTACCTGTAGTATCTTTCATATCAGAAATGCCGCATACAAGGCATTTGCTGAATACTTTTACCATGGACCTTTCCCTTGTTACAGTAAGTAGTTACTATATGGTCATATACTGTAATGTGTCATATATTACAATAAATCGTTTATCATATTATATAAGAAATAAAGAAACATATAAGAGACAAAGATAGACTCATAATTTATTTTTATTTATTCACAGCAAACAATTATGTTTATTACGATAACGGGCTATTTCCAACAACTCGATAACAAGGAAGAGCTCATTCGCTACTTCAATCGCACCTTCATAATTGTTCCGGAAGGTGAAGGATATTGTATTCGAAATGAGCAGTTGCATATTAGTCAACCATCTGAGGTGCAATTGAAGGAATTGCACCAGCAACTGAACCAGTTGAATACTCAGCAAACTCAGCCAGAAACGCAGACGCTGAGTTCCACAGAAGCAAAACCTGTACCAACGGAACTCGATGACGAAGTAAAGAAGCAGATGACATTAATGTTAAGTCAGCAGACAAATATGAATTTGGAATGGAGCTTGAAGTGCTTACAAGAAACGCAGTGGATCTACGACAATGCAATCGCTGCCTTCCAAGAGTTTTTCAAACGTGGACAGATACCACCACAAGCGTTTGCAAAATAAAGACATGTGAGTAAGCAAATCTTATCACTGTGATAATAATTTATAAGAAAAGTCCGAATTTCTTGTAATCGACCTTCATTCCATTTTATTCCATATATATTGTATTTGTTTCTCGGGTATACTTGTTTGTATTTTGCATCGTGAATAGAAAACCTAGAACATCTTTCCTAGACAACATGCATGTCTAAAGACGTTATAAAGATATAAAGATGTTTCATTAAGAACATATAATACATATCTAAATGATACTTAAAAAACATCGTAAAGAAGTCTTGTAGACAATACGTGTTGTCTGGGATTTATTATTTGCCAATTTTATATCTTTGGCAACGAAAAATTAACGTTACAAAGAAAAAAAAGTATCAAACGAAATGTATTAAGACACCTTAATATAATTCTTAGAAAAGTACTTCAGATACATATAAACAAAATCTTGTTTTATTTATATTGAATTTATGAAATTGCGCATAATATCCTCATGAAAGTTGCTAAAAATCATAATTTTAATTAAAATTACAATCTCAGTATGTGTTATGTGATTAGTAAGAAATATTATTAGCAAAAAAGATATGATTAGAAAGAAAAATCATCGGCCGCATTCACCAGGCACAGCACTTGAGTGAATGCTCAATAATTACCATGATTGGAGCAGACACTTTAATCATGTAATAAATCTAGAAAAAATGCATTAAAAGCACTTGCTCAATTGTTGTGTTTGTTGAACGCGTTCATTTTTCTATTATGATTTTTAGCAAATTTGTCATATTTGTTTTTCACAAAAATATTTATTTGGATCTTATGTTAAAACTCTAATAGAAAACATCAGGATATTTTCTAAACAACATGCATGTTTAAAAGACATAAAAAACGTCATAAAGATGTCTCTCTTAGAACATAATGTTTAAATAATATCTAAAAGACATCATAAAGAGATTTTTTTAGACAATGCCTGTTGTCTGGAATTTATTACAGGTACAAAATCATCTTCTTTAGATTGAGCTTATGAATTTGCATAAATATCCGCATGAAAGTTGTCAAAAATCATAATTTTAATTAAATCACAGTCTCAATATCAAATAGTAAGAAATGTCATCAACAAAAATGATATGATCAGAAAGATCATTAGTATTCACCAAACACAGCACTTGAATAAGCGCAGTAAGTCATGTGATAAATTTATAAGAATACATCAAGCTTATTCAACTGTTGTATTTGTTGAATGCACTCATTTTTCTATTATGATTTTTGGCAAATTTCATATTTTTCACGAATACATTTGAATCAGATCCTATATCAGAATCCGAATAGAAAACATCTAGATATTTTCCAAATAACATGCATTTCTGAAAGACATCATAAAAACGTCATAAAGACGTCTCTCTTAAAAATGATGTTTTATTATTTAAACATACATTTAAATAATAAAACATCATAAAGACATTTTCTAGACAATGCGTGTTGTTTGGGATTTATTACTTGCTAATCTGTATCTTTGGTAACGAAAAATAGTTTTTAATTTTTGCGAAGAAAGAATATAAAAGAACATTAAGACATAATATAACATTAGAGAAAAGTACTTTAGATACATACACAGAATAGTTTTGTCTTGTTTATATTGAACCTATATGATTTTTTATTTGATTTAAAATATAAATATTAGTGTTAAGTTATAGTAATAAAAATAAATAAATAAATAAAAAATAAAAATTTTTGGGGATATGTATGATGTTACTGATCATTATATATAATGAAAATTAACTAGCTGAATATTCCCAAAAATAAAAAAATTTTTTTTATTATTTTAATCATTTATATATTTTTCATTGGCGCTATTAATTGATAAATATATAATGTATAAATTAAAATATCAAAAGCATCTAATAGCAAGACAAATCGGATTCTTGATGTAATCAATATGGAAAAACAATCGTAATCGTTTTACATATAACAAGTTATATTTTGTTACCAATATCCGATTCGCAGGTTTTAATATTTTTTGGTATGTAAAAAAAATTACATATTACATTTGGTATAAAAAATTTATAATAATTATTTTCTACACATTTATAAGCGTTTGCAATGTAAGTTCGATTTTTAAAGTACGAATTTTTTCAATTTTTAAAAAATACATAAAGAAAAATTTATATTTCATTAGTGTCTTTACATTGTCGATTTGTTAATATTTCATGGATATTCAATGTGATGTTAGATATCTATTTCTACTCTCTCTCTCTCTCTCTCTCTCTCTCTCTCTCTCGCGTGCGCGCGCGCGCGCGCACGCACGCACGCACGCACGCACGCACACACACACACACACACAGTTTGAACTAAATTTACAGGTAAAACAAATAAAAAGGTATTAATATGTTTTATTTTTAAAAGAGTAAAAATATAGCTTTTATAGAAAAAATTTTTATATTATAAAGGAAAGTTGGATTCTGTACAGTATATGTAGTATATACAGAAAGACGCACGAAATCATACCATTTGATATATATGTGATATATTTATTCTTAACAAAATTAATACAGAAGTGATATAGAATTACCAAAGCTTGAAAATTGGATAAATAAATGGATATTTCGTGCGCTATATGTATATTTCACACACATAAAAAAAATCAAAAAGTGTCTTCCTCTTTAAAGAGAAAAAGATCTTAGTTTGTACCTGTGACAAAAGTATTTTCTGTAATTATTTATATCTAACATCACCGTACAGTTAACTCAAGAAATTTTATATCTACAGATTACATCTATCAGATTAAATAAAAGAAAGATACTGTTCTATCTAAAATTATTTAATTTCTCGGACATAGGATTATGTTTTTATTCTGTTAATTGAATTTTATTGCACAGATAAATTGTCAGATTTTTTTACATACACGTTTAAATTTTCAAGTATAATAAAATTTTCAAGTATAATTCAATTAACAGAATATTTAATTATATCAACTAATGTATAATGATGGTGCAATTTTGTAGAAAATATAATTTAACAGTTTCTCAAAATTGTTACTTTATATAGCGATACATATATATTACAATTAAATAGCTTTTTATAATTTGTAAATAGTACTATATAAGTTTCGTGCGTCTGTAAATAGGTGTGTATATATATATAT